ACATATCCAGTTCCCTCGTGGATGACATGACGCGAGCCTGATGGAAACGAAATCCGGTTGTGATATTGTTTCATATTGTGAAAATCAGAGCATCCACATATGCGCCACACTCACTTTTATTTTACACGCATGCAGTAAGAAAACTTGAATTGTTGTTCTTCTTCTGTCTGGAATGACTATTAGCTGTCCAATCCTGATGCCAGGAGATGTAGATGCAGGATGAATGGCATGCATGCGATATCGAAGTGCTATACATACAGAGTAAAATTAAAATAGTACAGGAAATTGTGGGCAACGTGCAATTACTTACAACATTTAAACTATCAAATGTATCCATATTTTTATCGTTATTATTGCTTTAACATGATATGATTTTCATTGTGTAGTAAACTCTTATTGCATTCTTCTCGAATCTCGGTTTTATTATTCAAACCGCAGAATAAAATAAAATAAACATTTCAACTTCTTCATAGGATACCCAAACCCTACGATTCTCTAATAACTGTCCATCCATTATTATTACTACGCGTTGAGTTGGATCTCTTTCTCTGTATAAATAAATATCGATGAATTATTAATTGAGCTGGCTTCTCCACATACAATTATTTTTTTCCGTCTCTAACATCTCATCATTATCATCTTTATCATAATCGGCTCCTTTATTTTACTATATCAGCCAAGGAAAACTATTAATTTAATTTTTTAAATAGTTTTTATAGAACTATATTAATATTTATTAAAGAGGATTTTAATTAGTTGAATATGTACAAAATGTATGCATGTGTGATACATGTCTCGCGTATAAAGTTATACTTTTGTCTCACAATTAGTCACAAATCTCAATTTCCCAAGTTATTTATCAGCATCAAAAAATGGGAATATTAATGAGATGCTCACATCAATATATACAGTATATTTTGATGTATATAATATACTCATTCATATTCTTCCATACGTATGTATGTATGTGCATGCATGTACATATACCGATAACTTTTGCTACTTTTTTGATACTTGATTTTGGGACACCTGGAGAGTGAAACCTTGTTCTCCTTTCTTCTTCCCTTGTTCTCGTCAACTTCACACCAGAACATCGCCTCAGATCAGATCCGCCTGAGATTAAATTATCAACATGAAACCGCTATCATCATGATCCAAGTTCAAGAAAGAGAAATATATTCATCTCTGACATAAAAAGCGAGTTTGGCAGCAGTAATTGGGAGATCTCTCTCCTATTTTATGGAGACTTTGTGACTTATTCAAGTAAATTGATTGAATTACGGAGAGAATATTGGATAAGGTGGTGGTGTTGATTCTTGTCCCAGCGAGTCTGTGTTCAGACAGCGTGGGATAGCCGATGGCGAGGTCTTCGATTTCCAAGAACAAAAAGCCAGCCTTTTCTTGGTACATATGTATCTCCGTCACTACATTTTGTACATCTTCTTACTGCATTCTCCATTTATCCTCCAAAAAATGTAGACTTGAATCATTTCCATTTGTGCAAAACTCTTTCCTTGTTAAAAAATCGTTCAGTTTGCATATTAGGCACATCCAAGCCCGCAATTGTGTATTCTTTCCTTTGAAATTTATTGGACGCAGGCAGACGGCTTTTGTTTTGTTTTTCACCAACTACTGCTAATTAGATAAGGTGCCAATAACAGGTAAAGTGCTAGCGAGGTAGAGACTGGTTGGATGGATGTGTGATTCAATGCAAATGTTGTGGCGATGGAACAACATTCTTTAATTACTATAAATTAACCGAGGAGTAGCACAAGTCAAGATTGTAATATTATACCGCATTCTTAAAGTTTTTCCATAATTTTACAAAATTTTCTGTAGCTCATCAATTCTGTAATTTTTGCATAGTTTCAGTAATTTTTTGGATGATTTTTGAGCCATGCATTTTGGAAAGAGTTATTAGAGTATTGCATTGGCCTGCAATTCTGTGCAGATATATTCATATGGATAGAAAGGAGGACGTTATAGGTGGAATTGCACGGTTTGGTTTCTTTTAATGTGCGAGTTAGTGAACCCTGTCTGGTCCAGGAGAGACTCGTGCTTCTTGATTTTTTGTGGAGAAACTTCTTTTCTACTCACCAACAATTTACCTACAATCACTCACCACAACACCAACACCACCAAAACTTTTAACGTTCATCCACGAGAGCAGAAAGAATCCAACCAAACCAATCTGCCAGGGTGGAAATTACATTTTACCACAAAAGCGAAATAAAGTGGGGAAGAAATGCATAATACAGGAATGGATAGAATTCTATCTCAATACTTTACTAACAACAAATAATCTGACTGAATTCACCATCAGATGAGATAGAAAATCAGAATACAAAAAGATAGCTTTCTTTCCCAAACGTAATGTACATATGCATACGTTTTTGCAGCAAGTATTAGCAAATTAGCAGAAAGTTTGGCACTTAATAAATTTTGGTAACAGCAGAGTACATACATCTAAATTATGTGGCTATAATTTTGCAAATGTATGTAAAAACACGACTATGCTTCTCGAACAATGGAACGTCTATCCAGCTTATTTGTAACTACTAAATGCATAGCCAGAAGCATTTTTAGACATTATATATTTGTCTCATAGCGTTTCAATTTAAGCAGACTAAAAATAAATGAGTCTTTTTTTGCTAGTCTATGATACACAGCTATTATTATATCATACCTAACTTTACCGACATTAAATTTGTATTGTTTTCTGCTGGTGCTTTGTCTTGATATTCAGAAAATTTTAATGCATCTCTCATCATGCTACGCGGTTCATAAAAATTCAATCAGTTCCTTTCAAATTAGGTGTATAGTGGGGTAGCATGTAGCTTAATGCATACAATAAAATGCCTTTATTCAAGGCAAAGAAACAAAGAAATATTTCTTCAATCCCCCGGAGGACATTTCTTTTGTTGTCTATAAATACATACATATGATAACAAAGATGAAATTATTGTAACGAGTGAGATAAACAAAAATTCATCAAAGCCAACAATGTATGTAGCAATGTGTCATATGTAACTCTGGAGAACTCAAAATTTGCTATCCAAAATTGTCATATGTTGTATTGTTAAAATATGTATCTCTGTACAAAATGGGCACGAAACACGTGCTTCTAAAGTCCCAGACGGCAATGTACATATGTTTCGTCGGGCCCTGGGTAAATTCTAAAAAGATTCACTTTTTCATAGTTTAGTCATGCACGCAACTCCAAATACATATTTGCGGTGAATTTGAGCATCGAAATACCACAAAATCAAATGCGATATGTTACGTAATGAAGAATGAACAATGGCCCACGAAGACCAACCACGACTAGCTTGCTCCTTATTGCTTGAAAAAGTCTTGATGATTTCTGTACAAGTTACTGTGGAAGGTTAAGGATCTCTCATCCTCAGTTAGTTAAAGCGAGGTGCACGATTTGCAACTGCAACCAAACACGAAATCATGGTCCAAGTGAAACGAAAACATGAGCTGGATGTCTTATATAACTTTCAACTCTGAATCTTGAAAAAAAAGTCTCCTCGCAAAATGTCACATTCTTCAATGGCCTCTAATTATGCAATTTCATAACAATAATGCACAGTTGAGAATCTGCTTATTTTATAATATAATGAAATGAATGATTATGAAATTATGGGGTAAAGTGAGATGTCCAAACTGATCCTGAGATACGTAAATGCTCTAGAGTAGTGCTTGTGGAAAGCATAAGAAATCGAAAGAAATTATAAATCAACTTTAAAACAAAAGAGGAAATATTTATGTCGACGCCAAGAAAAATGCAGTATTTTCTTGGCTTATAGCGTGAGATTCTATTCCCAGAAGTGATTAATAATATTCTTCTTCTTGGTCGGGATGATCGACAGGTAGCCCGTGTTTTTTTCTGGCTGTACATACTTAAATACGAGAAAAGAACATTCAGGCACCTTACTTTTATTACGGCTCCCCTTTTTCTTAATAAATTGCTCTTCTTCTTCTTCACTACATAATAATCTCGTTGTTCTCCATTCTTTTCGTTGTATTGTTGTGTTACTATTATGTAGTCAAAAGTCTCGTGAAATTAGAGTAAATTAGATTACAACAATGGGCAAGTCTGCCTGCCTGGTTGGCTCCAGATGAATGTTGATGTGATGGTATATTTAATAGTGGATGTGGCTCGCCGTCTAAAAATGCTAAACTTTCGTATAAATTTTAACAATCTTTATAAACTTGTGGGAAATTAAAGTGGATCAATTTTTCCATCTTGCAAAAATTGCACCATTATTACAAATACAACCTTTGGCCCCTTTTCGCTAATCACTTGGTTGAAAACATGCATCAATAATAATAACAAAATCTAAAATCAATTCAGCTTAGTTTTGAATTGCAAATTTGCAGTACTAATTCCACCCATTGCCTATGCATAAGTTATAGAATGGATCATGAATGCGATTTCCTTTTACAGGAAATTGTAGCAATTTGTAAGAATTTAGTCAAGGTAAAAGCTATGGTATGATAATTTGTCTAAATTCTGCGAGCATTAGGTCTCATCATGCTTAATTTATTTGTTGTAGGATTGCTTTATTCTGTATCTTTCCCCTCTGCAATTTTGAAAATGGTAATGACGAGAGAAGACAAGAATAAATGAGATCATGTCAACCCTCATTTTGCATCTCCAAGAAATTACACTACTACATGCACACAAACTTCAATGAACTCGGAAATAATAATAAAATCAAGTAAAAAATTTTAAGTTTCGCTCACTTATATAAAACCTTCCTTTAACGAGGGTAGTAAAATTGTCATAAAATTGCTGTTGTTGTTATGTGTGTGTGTGTGTGCACCCTCATAATGAGATCAAATTGCTGTGATGGTGTTAAATTTGATCATAACTCATGTAACCAAATGTCACATGAAAGTCATCGTTGTGACATAAACTGACAAATTGTCGAGAATGTGTAAAAGTTGCTATTTTTTTTACACAGGTCTGATCCTTTTTAATCCTTTTTTAGCAGTTTCGACGCTTCGAAGTCCACCAAAGGAGCGAGCAAGTTGAGACGAGACTTGATAAATGCAGAAATTGCGAATTTACGCGATCTCCTCCCTCTGCCATCCTCCACCCGGCAGAGGCTCTCCCAACTCCAACTCATGGCCCTCGTCTGCGTCTATGTGCGGAAGGCAAACTATTTTCAACAAGGTAAGAAAAACTAGGAATCATTGTCAAATTGAAAATTCCAAATTTAAGCAAACTGCAAAACTTCGAGAAGCATAAAGTAGACTCAAAACCTGGGCAAAAAGTATTTAGTGAGCCGCATTAAATTTGTAAAAACCAAGTGCGGCCCTTTATGATGACGAGTGAAGTTTACGGGGAAAAGAACCGACATAAAGTTAATGAGACCACTTTGCTCTTTTTACGACTTGTGGTCATTCATCAGTTGAGGTCCAGGCAGGTCTATCTATCTACCAAACCAACTTGTCAAACAACCATCAAATCAAGTCAACATCTAACATGTGTATTTACTTCGTAGCTAAATATCGTAAAAAAGAGGATCCGGTTCCAGCCTGGCTTGCGTTGAGTGATTGTGTTCGGTTGATTTATACACACGTATGAAAAAATCTGCAGGCAATGCAAGAACTTATAAATTCCACCGCTCTGGAAAATGAAGCAATTTACTAAAGATGCCCAATTTTGTGAACTGTCTGATTTCACTATACTCCACTTCACCTCATTTGGAGGGACGCATGCCGTACTGAAGCAGCACGCCAAATTTAAGCTCATTATTTTTTCCTTCGTTTTTATATTAATATCAAATCGAGGAACGTGCTTATCATGGCATACGAACGTTTGTATGCACAATGTTCCTTTCTGCATACGCAAGTATGTCCAATAAGTAAATTGGTTCAAATTGTAATTGCAGTTTAAGTAAAATAAAAGTAAATCATCTTCAAGAAAATCAAGTTGTTGATTTGGAGTATTGATTGGCGATTGATTGACGATTGTTATTGATGGTCATGCTGTCGTCTAGATTCGTACTCAGCCAAAGAATTATGTATATTCTCTCCCTTTAGAATTGTGAGTAACTTTGTGATTTGGCAAATAACATGTCTGCGTGTAGTTTGATTAGGCCATCTTCTATTTTGCAATAAATTAAGATCCGAGTATCAGACTGAGGAATATAAAGTTTGATTTTTGCTTCAAAAATAAAATATTCGTATGTTTCGTTTGTTATATTTGGGCGAGATGGTTGGTTCACTGCTATTCATTAATCCGAAGTAGATATTTTTGTAATAATCATGTTTGATGCCTTGATGCCAAAACTTGTCAGGAGCAAGTATGCAACTCTGGTTGAGTGAGGCGGCTCTGAATATATAGTGTAACGTATTATTTACCTGAAGGAGCAGAGTTTACACAAAATCAGTCAAAATCCTGTGATGATGTTTGACTTAATGTTGGATAATAATTGTGATCTGTGAACAGGTTTTCACTTGTAAAGTGAACCATGAGGGAGTTGTCCGTAGCATAAAGATTTCGTTCCCTATTGCTTTTTCTCATAAAATCAAAAGAAGCTTTTTTAACTATTGGTTTTTTTTATGATGTCCAGAAATCAGTTATTTTCAGAAAGTTTTAACAGTGGAATTATCAATGTCAACGGCTCGGTCAAGTTTCATGAGCGACCCTCTCACCGCACACAAACGGTCACAATGTTCGCATTCATTGAACTTGTTCGTATCGCTCCCTGCTAATTTATGAGAATTGGGTAATTCACTCACTCGATCTGAAAATTAAAAGGTCGTCATTCCCCTCATTTCAATCTCTTGTGTGCATATGCTCCTTGGACTGGTTTGTCTTCTTCACCAGAAGCAAGATTGACAGCTCTTATGCAAATTTCCTCACAAAATCCTGCAAACTTTTTCTTACTAATATTTAGAAAACTAAACAAAAAGGTAGCAAGTTTTCAAATCACATGCAAAGTTTCAACAGTCATATTATTTTTTTTAACTTTACCCATCCTTAAAATGCATTAATTAGCAAAAATCCACGTCCAAATGACTATATTAATATGAGAAGTTTGACAGTTATGTTTTCCTTCGGTGAAATGTTGAGTATTAACAAATATTATTTACTTGAAGTTGCGTGAAAAATGAATGAAATATACTATTTAGTAAGAAACTCTCCCAAATTTGGAAGCCGAATATCTGCAGGTTTAATTTGAAATTGATATTCTCAGCTAATAAAATTCTAATCGATAGCGGATCAATGAACCATGGAATGTGATCAGGCAAAAATCACAATTTTGGGCAAATTACGCCCCATTGTTCAACAGAGAACATTGTTCTTTTCGGCGACAAGAAGAAGTAAAGAAAACGAAAAGCCCATTTTTCTTTATGAGGAGCTAGAACTATTTATTGTTATAAGAAGATGAAGTATACATATACGATACGTCGAGGAAAATGAATTCATATCTCACCACCGCACCAAACTTTTTCTTGGCTTACGTACTTTTTAACGAAAGGCGAACATTACCGAAAGAGAAGAAAAGAGCTGAATAAATAAATGGGCTCAAGATTTGATGGTGATGGGAAATGCCGAACAACAATAAATTACAATTAGGCAGGCAGAATTACGAAGGCATAACGTTTCCTATGTTGAAGAAATGAGGCAGTTTCTCATAGCAAATTCCTTAAATACTGAATTTAAACAATGGAGAAGATCCGCTATAGGAAAACCAAATCTGATTCCATCTGAATCTTCTTCATGTAAAAATTGTGTATGACAAAATGGAAAACTTTGTCGTCAAAATTCTTTGTAAGAATTATATTTAGCAAATTGTTTGTCGCAATTACAACGCAATTGGCCTTGATATGCTGAGAAATACTTTTAAATTTAATTAAAATTGGCAGTGATGCGTATTGTGCAATTAACTTTAATTTGTCTCGATTGTCGTATTATTATGTTTATTGAAGTCTCACCTTATCCAATCAAGGACATTACTTAATTTATTTTTACTTTTCCGATAATTGTAATGATTATTGAGAAATCAATAAAAAAAACTCGATTGACAGTCAATGTATTATTTGTACTTGCTGTGCACTAGTTATACATAAGTGTTGGTCCACCTTTATTGTGATTCAAGGACTTATATATTTATCACAAGTGGCGAAAGATAAGTGACTTATCGTGTAATTATATATGTCATAGCTGCAAATAAAATGTATATCTAGCGTATATATTCATATATATGTGAAAAATTTGCAGCTTTTGCGTGGTGATTATTATGCAATAAAATGGTCCTCATCTTCATTCCCATAATGGAATCTAGTGGAAAACACCTCAACAAAGTAATAATTTGTCTCTACACCGTCTGATAAGACGATGAGAGAAAACCTTGAGGTGTGAGTTCGCCGTATGTAAAATGTTCATATATATGGAGGCAGACAAGCAAATTAATTTTCATTCTTACGATAATTTGATTTTCATGTTCAAGTTCACCCAAGAAAATAATAAATAAGGTTTCTCCACCGTCTCTACCAAAAGTTTACAGCATACTTATCACATGTATCTAAGTACTGTTGTCCGCATGGTACCTTTTTAAACCTTATTCTTAGTGTCTCCCTTTCCCTGTGTTGTAGCAAATTGTCAATCACCATCAATTTAAGTAGGAGTGACTGTGGTGAGAACTTTTCCCAGGGAGGACAAAGACACTTTTCGTTTAATGCCATTTATTAAGCTTTTGGCAACCAATAAAAAAGAGCACAGTTATGGAAGTAAAGAAAGAAAGTGCACATTAAACTAATTACAATAAAGATTATAGGATAAAATATTCAGCTCACTAAAACTCAAATTTGTGTATTCCTTATAATTTGTCGACTCTCTTCTGAAGAAGATTTCCATATTGTCGAACACACTGCTGAATACCGAAATAATGAAACAGTTTTCTGGTGGGAATCCACCGCATTGAGAGATGGATGAAAATTGTCGTAAAAGTTTTATAATAGCGTGTGTCCTGTCCATACACACATCCGAGACATTTACTACTATTTTATACGTCTATGAGGCCATTTACATAATGGTCCGTGTCCTGTACGAGATGATGACTCTTTGCTCCCTGAGAAAAATACATCATCTCTGGTTTTCCATAAAATGCAATCTTGACCATGTCGCAATTTAGTCCACTTATCAACAATTGGCTGGACTTTCAAGTGACCAATACATACGCACAATAATAATATGTACATATTTACAACGCCACAATTTTTATCATAGACGAGGAGAGGTCATTCTCTGGCATAACATTCATATTTCTGGGATATTATGTAATTTTAGCGATGAATCATTAAAGCATTAAGCTGTCCAGGGTGAGATTGATATAAAGCTCAAACAAATTAGAAAACTGGACCCGGAACTCGATTTGATATACACCACCAAATAAAAAATGGGACGGACTGGTTACTCGTCCCTATCTGCCACCGCCACCACTAAAATTTACAATGTTCGATTACGATTAAAATTACTTTGCATTAGATTACCTCACTCTTCATGCCTACTACAATACATATCCAACAAGAAAACCATCCAGTTTTTTGTCCGGTTTTGGTGGCAGAAGTTGAAGTACGTATCTATGTTATGCATGTTAGTATCCTTATTGTGAGATGCGGAATCATCTTGGCTTGCTCATCTTCATTTTGTTCTGTTACTGGTCTAGGTCCTCCTGTCGTCCTGTCCAGCGAGAGTCGGCCAAGTTTTATTCGACAAGTCTAAATATTTTCACATCAATTGTAAATTGAGGGAAACATGGATAATAATTATTAACTAATCCTAACCGTGAGCATCGAAAGATTTTGGTTAAAATATATTCGAGCCTGCGTTGATATCTCATTTAATTTAATTCTGCAACATTTAGATTTGACGTGGTGCATGAATCGTACTTTTGCAATTTTATATTTGATTTGTGAAGCTTGATTTATTCCACTTTTACAATTTACACTTTACAGCATCCACTTTACCAGTAGACGCATCACCACTCGATCACTGCATCTACTTGTCTCTCGAGCTTAAATTATTGGTCGGCTGCTCAAATAAAAAAGTTGTAAAATTACCCAACTTTGCCTCCATCCATGCTTCTGCTAAACATAAGTTAAATGATAAGCCAATTCTTTCTGCTGCTCTTCAAGTTTCATAAGAATGTGAACCTAGACTACACCGTGCACTCAACATTTACAATAATATTTAATAGTCATAAGTTAATGATGTTTTCTGCGCATTATGTAGTAAAACTCATCTCCAAAAAATCGAGTTTAAATCTGCAAACGTCTGCATCTTTGATGAACATGAACACAATGCACGCATAATTTCGCACCACCACGCCGTACTTCCAAAAAAGTAAGTTTAGGATCATGACTTGTCCAGAAGATGCAGTTTCTAAGTCACGTTTAGTATTCGATGTAAAAGTCGTGCCTTTGCTTGTCCCACATCCCAACTGCACGACGTAAATAAAAATTCGCGTATGAATGCAGTGCATAACATACATACGCATTTTATCACGACTTATTATTACAAGTCACAACCTCATAACTATGAGATGCATTTGTTTGCAATTTCTTTGATGCAATTTTTTAATGCAATTTTTGTTTTGTGCAAAAAATGTTCAAAAATATTATTTGCTATACACATATGCGGTTAAGTGTTTTTTGGATAAATCAATTACAAAAAAATGCATATTCTTTGAGGATTTATTCCTTTTTTTATTCCCTTTTATTTTATAGCGTGTTGAATTGTAGAAAAATCCTGCTGCTCGGTGGATTTACTGTTTTCTTACAATAATGCTGCTCCATGCTGTGTAGTTTGTATAAACTGGTAAACTTGTCCATTATTCTAATCTTATATAGCTTTTATTCATTCATGGCTACAATGCTCAATGGGATTTCACCACGAGGAGACAGAGGCAAATTTATGACAATGTTTGTAGTAGAAGAAACTGCAAGTACATATTCACTAATCAACAGAGGAGGTATTTGTAAGATGCACTTTGTAACAATAACTAATCTAGAATGAAACAAGGCCTGCTTGATGATGATCCTGCACCAGAGGGTACAAAAGGAGTAAAAATAATAATTGATGACGTTAAAGGCCACTTATTCTGTCACCACCACCACTTGATTCATCCCCGTCCCCTGCGGGACTTCTTTGATGCTGTGTGGTTGGGGTGACACTTACCGTGGGCCGTACGTGGTCATTACGATGCTGTATTGTGTGGTCAACATAAAACATCTTAACTCAATGTGCATTCATCTTTTCCTAATTTTGTGCTTGGTATTCACATCATCTCACCCACAGTTGGGTCAACACTACGCATTTGTTGGCTGATTAATGGTGTAATATTTTTGTTTAATAAAATTTACGGGAATCCTCTACATTTTTGCGATAATCATAATCTCTGGCTTGATTGTATATTGGATGAAGGCGGTGTGGCTCGAGTGGAAAAGTCGTAACATAACTTGCTGCGTGTATGTAACCTTCAGCTTCAGCACTATTGTGTGAGGTGAGGTGGAGACGTGCAGCCGTAATTGTAAATTAATGAGTGTTCAAGGAAGAAAGTCTCATCTTCCCCTCGCCAAGGACTTGGACACATATCATCATCGTGTCGTTAAATGTAATTGACGGCGATAGTTATTTATGAGTTACGGCAGAAATAAAATAATAATGAAATGCATATACTTATGTATATACCGATTTTGTGCTTGATTTTGTTGTCTAATCGAAAACAAGTAGAGTATAATGGACCCTGTCATAAGCAGTAGTGAAGTACATGCATATGTGTACAAATATATGCATTTCAGTGCCACTGAATTTAATTCGGATAAATAAATAGTAAAATCTTATTTCATCCCTTAAGATCGGATTATGTAGGTAGGGATTTGTAAGCAGCAAGCTGTTTGTTCCGTGTGGATGGCTTATTTGATGTACAGAGTGGGATGGCAAGAATAAGGGCTGGAAGATGATCATGCGTATGTAGTAAAGGAATTGGTATCTGGCGAGGCGAGATGAGATTACGAGTTTATGTCATTGTTGCGTTGCGTTGCAGGGGATGGATGCATTTGTGAAGATACCAAAGTTCCTATTTCCAAATCACTTCATAATCCCTGCACTGCCTTATTGTAATTTTTATTGATACGATTTGTTAACTAATTGCACATAGCAAAATTTTCTTGATCCCAACTTCTCCGTGTAATATTTTGAGAAGTATTTGTTATTTTCTCACCAACCCCAAATTCCAATGATGGCAAGAGCAGTTGAGATTGCGGTGCTGATGGTTATAACAATTCCGAGGGCCAAGTTTTCTTCTTCGATAAAAACGGAACCCACGGCGAAACAGACCACACCCACGGCCACCATTAATAGCAGATTGGGCGCTAGGAGAATCAGACCGTGGATAAAAAGAAGGACACCCATTCTTTGAGAGAGATCCTAAAAATGACACAAGAGAAACATATTGCTTACGTTCTGATAAGTAAATTCGCAGATTTCTTACCTTATGCCTATGCTGGACACAACTTATCGGGAGTATCGTAACGTCATCGAGTCATAATAATTAATTTAATTATTACTTTAGGAGCTGTACCCTTGCTTTACAACATATGCAGTTTCCATTGATAGCAATTAAATATATTACGCAACTATTGCATGGTAACCAGACCAAATGCAGGCAGGACGCAAAGTGTCCCTCTTTGTCAAGAACAAAGTCACGATATGCATATGGCTGCGGTGCACGATTTCTCACAAATTCCTAATCCATACGCATCAACATTTTCACGCATAACTGCAACAATTTGTCTGCAAATCATGGACAAAAGCTCGAGTTTTATCAGTTTTGCAATAATTCTTTCGCATGTGTTTAAATGTTTTACCTTTGATTTTCAGTGTTCAAAAGACATCACGAAATGGGTCATCCTTTTACCACGCCAAACATCGGTTTCTCAAAGGTAAGACTTAGCACTCGGCTTTTTAATTTAATTACATTTTATTTTACGAGATACATGCAAGTTGTAGGGGCCTTTGAATCCATTAACATGATTTGTTTACGAAAGTGAACCTTATCCTCATGCTTATCATTAATTCTGAATCCTCAAAGGGCCCGCATTTGTAGGGTCTTATTAATTGAGTACACTCCAGGCGGTAGGTAGTAGTTTGATAAAGTGAGATTCAAATTTCAGCCAGTTTATTAATTCTTTGTTTTTTACGTCTTGTTCAAATATTATCCAAGTAAACCTTTAAGTATGCAAGCAAGTGCCTCCTCCGTCGTTCGTGTCACCCGCATCGTCAGTGCCAGTCAACGTCAACACGTCAATTCGGTTATTATCATTATTATTATGGTATCGATATCGATATAAATACACTGATCATGTAGACGCACCGATGCAACTGCTACCTGAATTTATCCCGTGAATTAGCATCTAAATTGAATCCTAGTCTGGCAAACATAACACTCTGCGGGACTTCTGTGAACTTTGTTTAAGAATTCTAATTGAAAACCTGGATGGTTTTGCTGCTTCTGTTTTTCCTCCGATGTAATAATCCAATCCATAATAATCAATCAGTCAGTGAGTGTAATTGGTGTGTCTACAATGACGACGGAATAGATTGATTTGTTAATAAAGCAGAGGTGTTTCCATTACCACTTGACATGACACTGACATTGCATGCCCAAATAAAATCAATGTAATTTCACATGCATGCATCAAATCAATAACTTTCCTCGCCATATACATATTATTTTTCGTTCATAAAACATTAAAATAACATCAGCAATAATACAACGCTTTGATTAATACTGATTTAATTTCATATGTGTTTTTTTTCATTTGTTTCCAAACATTTCCAGTCCATGAGTGGATTCCTCATAATGATGACACAGAATGGAAAACTGCTCTACATATCGGATAATGCTGCCGAGTACTTGGGTCATTCGATGGTAAGTACTCATTATTATAGAACTTCTCTTCGCCTGTAATTTGAATTTTCCTCCGCGTCGAAATGAATTCATTGAGAAGAAGAAGAAAATAATGAATGACGACGTGGACGTCGACGACGCCTGATGGTGGACCACCGATGGACACCACAACCATCATCCCGAGTGACGAAGCAACTTTCCATTCACGAAATTACTCTGAAATTCAAACACTCAAATATTTAACTGTCCAGTGAAGCTGGTGGTGTTGGTGTGTTTGTTGTATTATAATATTTCTCTTGTGAAGAGAAGGACACCTTTTTTCATTATTCCTCCATCTTCTTGGTCTTCTCATATGCTTTGCTCCTGAACTGAAGGATTATTTATATTCTCCGTTCGTGTAACAATGAGGCAAATTTGGAGAAATGTAAATTGTCTCCGGGGAGAATTCTTCATTCATCATCATTTATTTCTATTACTTGACTAAATTCTTTAAAAAAAAGTTGGGAGACCCATTGACAAAATATAACTGCTTGTGACTGACTGGGCAAATGGATCTGTGGCAAAAGCAGACTTATCTCATCTTTTAATGGATAATGTGGATGAATTGCACTGCGATGATGTTACATGCACAGCCTCGTCACAGACAGACAGAATAAAATTACTTTAAGTTACACATTTGGTTTTGAAGCTGATTCACAAATAAAAAGGTGGCGACGTAACAGAAATTGTTTATAAAAAACGTTACGTGCGAGGGTGGGTGGATTTGATTCATTCATGAATTGGAATAATAATGGATATAAGATAAGGGTCCACGAGTTACCATTATATCAAACATTAATGCGTCCTCATAAAAATAATGCTGAATGTATCTACTTACGTATGGCTATAAATATGCAATATTCATAAAATTATTACTGAATTTAAAGAAGAAGGCGTAGTATATTAGTACTTTTTGGTTATTGGTAGCAGCTAAAAAGAACTAAAGCAATAATGCATAATCGACCACCGGGAATGAACGCACAGTGATTTTGGTTGGAGCAGTGGTTTCACACCAGAACAATTTACATATTTAGCACCTATGTGCCCAATTGTATATAGTGATTGCATTGTAATAAGTCATATGCATTGTAATACGAAAGATTACAATATCTTCTAAGTTGGAGAACGAAGGCTAAGACAGGATCCACATACAGACAACACCTAAGCAATAATTTCCTCAAATTCCAATGCTATAGTAGTCCTTTGGATTGTCCATTTAAATTCCAACATTTTTTATGCCACCTTACATCATAATTATGATAATAGTCTCTCTCCCATAAGCTAATGATAGTTTACTCATATTGCATATTGTGTCTGTGTGGTGGTTTACTTTTAGTGAGTACATGATGTGAAATTATTTATCGTAAGGATACACAACCGACCAGTGTGCATGAAGTTGATCAATTGATTCATAGCAGTGTAATAATTTTCCTTACTTATTCCTCTCTTCATACACGGATCTATCTGTACGTGCATGTGTATGTATGTACATATCTAGGCTTGATGTATTCTGAAATGATGCGAGGTATGATTTTTGGGTGCAGTTTGCAGTCGCCTTTTAAAAATCTGTTTAGAAAAATGATAATAATCATCATCATGGATTATTCCTTCTACATAAATACATGCAGCGCAGTTTGATGGATGTTTTATTTATTTGCCAACGTTTCATTAAGAATATTTCATATTTATCTTGCATACCTCGGGAATAGTTTAAGGTAGCAAGTTAGAAAGCCATCCATTATTTATGAATCACTGCGTGAACTCTAATAAAGTTAAGCGTATATACGACGAGGATGCTTCTTCATTTTACAGCTTTTATGGAAATTGTCTCAATTTTATTACACAGACCACCTCCTCCTCCTCCCTCCTACTCTTGGATCATCTCACATTTTTCATCCATCCGACCCAATAACTCATCCCGGTGGAAAACAATGGGTTGTAAAGTGATGCTTCATTTTTAATCTGCATCTCGAAAACCAATACGATATTAATTCAATTCCGCACTCTCTTCTCCTACCTGCGCACTCACTACAATGCTATAAACCGTAAAGTTATCCATTGTTCGATTCAGTGTGATGGTGACGGTTGGTGGTGCGGTTGTTGTCTGCCTGTCCTCCTGATAAGTTGAAGTCCTTATGATGCACCCAAGCAACCCAACCAACCGTTTCATTTCATTTCACCGTCAGTCACCGTGTATGTGGACCCAAAAGAAGTAAGTGTACAAGTATCAAATCTAAAAAAGAAAAGAGTTAAAGGTTTATTGCCTCCTTCATCTTCATGTTGTGTGAATTTCATTCAATTGGATTCGCCTGTTTGTCAAACTTAACCAACTTTGTTGTGCTGATGTTGCTGAGCTGAGTCATCCATTTATTTTATTGTATTTGTAATCCTTCTCCTTTACCAGACGCGTTGCTCTCAATCTTCTAAATCTGATGAATTGAAATTAAATGTGAAATTAAATTCTCTTTTGTTAAAGTCAAGGTAAAAGCTTAAAGTTAAAATAATTCACAGTACCTTCGTTTCTTTTAAAAAATTGCGTACAATTTACAATTGTAAAAGTTGTAGGAAAACTTTTTCTTTCAAGTTTTGCGTTATGTTTTGAGTGGGCAAATAAGTATACAAGTACTTTCCCCATAGTCCTGTCTGTTCGCATTCTCAATTTTCTGTTGCATAAAATTGGATGACAATACATAAGTTTCTTCTTGTACGAAATAAATGTATCCCTTTAGGGGGGAGCATTGCATCCTTGTTTCCGTTAATGGAGTTCCATGTAGCAATAAAGTTCCCTACGGTGTTTCTGAAGTGACCTATGCATATTCAACGACGGTACGGAGCGACGAGGCAGGTGCACAAATTACATTTTCCAAATTAATCAATGAACCAAATCAATTAATGAATGAGAAGATTTCAATTTTGATTGAGAGCGTGCGTGAAGTTAGTTCCCGAGGGAAAACTCGACGACGACGATGTCGAAACCGTATGCTCTACTTTGTATTGGAATTTGTATTTATTTTTATTATGTTACTTAAGTGTAATTATTCTTATTATTTCACCATTATGCTAACAGTTTAAATATTAGACACCCTTTTGCACTGGCCGATAGCTTCATTTGTTCATGAAATTCGACACCTTGATTTTATGTAGTTAATGAGTTAATGACAATTGATAGCGTGCCCTTATATAGATTCATGCATAATGTGCATATTTTGCCTCAAATTTTGCTTAAAATTGTAATTTTTAAACAAGAAGACAGATTATGTATGTCCATTCATTTACACGTATTCCGTGTTAGATACGCTCTTCTTTTATGAAGAAAGACCACCACCAACAATTAATTAACAGCTATACGTTCAGACTAAATTTGCATTACAATCGAACTCCATTCAAGATTTAAGATATACACAAAAAACAGACACTTGTCCATTTTATCCTTCATGTGTGGACGAGTAAAAGTGTGAATGAATGGTTTTACTATGCAGTTTGTTACTTTTAATCATCATCATCCGCAGCCATTCAGTAATAGCTAGTTAACAACTAGCCTGCCATCCACTAACCCCTGAAGGCCTTATGTTGTCCATCTTTGCAAAGTAATTAGCTCACCTGCCTGCCCTGCCTTTCTCTTATTTGTCAATTAATTAGTCAGGCTTAAGGAAAAGACGCTGCTGTCAAATGAATATTGTGCCCTACCCACTTTCTTCACAGAATCAGAGCTGGTCATCCTGTGCATAAGCGTAAACATTCATTCATCACGTCAAGCTTTCATCCGTTTTTCCACCCTTCTTATATTACATGTCAGCATCTTCCTATTATTCGTGTACTGATTTTCTCAGTTCTACTAAAAATTATGGAAACGGTTGTTCCATTTTTGTTAACTTATTATGCATGACATTAGCAACTCGGCTCATGTATGATTATGATAAAAGGTAACAAATTGTGATAAAAATCCATTTTATTTTTTTATCCGATTTTGCTCATCCTTTGTGCTTCGTACGTATGCATGTAGCAAAAGTGTGCATTGTGGAGGACGGAGGACGATTAAGTAAAGTGACAAGGAAATAAGATTCGTGACTAATGGGTGGTCCTCCCACATCGTCCGTCCATTTATATTTAAAAGCCAAGTCTCCACATCCCATCCGAAGTTTGATTTACATTAGCAACATATTTATTTTGAGAGGTGGTATAGCTGATGGATGATGGGATGACAGGCAAGTGGACATTTGGGTTTATTTATTTAAAAAGGAAGGATTTTAATGTGCCTTAATCCTCATGGACCGGAAGTTGGATCATTATTAGATTGGAATTTTACGAAAGAATATTTTGATTATTATTCTCGCTCAGGATAAATTGGTGTTTAATGAGGATAAATTATTAATGGATTCAACAAATGAAAGGAAGGGAGGAAATATATATGAAGGAATTCTTGAGGATAAAATAAAGTGGCAATTAGTTCAGGTACGGAATGTCGGAGAACATTACACTGTCTCTGCCGGCCGACACTCTTTCCTAAAAATGTCAAAATTGCTGGTAAAAAATGATGAAACAAGGGGAAGATGATGAGTGACATTTTTCTGAGAGTTGCATGATAATAACAATGAATTTGAGAGACATTTATTTACAAGAAAAATGACAAATGAATCCTGAGCATAAATTCCAAGAAGCTAAGTGACAAGAATGAAATTAGGACTTTTACATGAATTATTCCGACTTTTTTCGAAAAAAAATTTCCAAATATATATGCAATTTGATCTGAACATTGTATTTAAGCATATATACATACGTTACATATCCAAGACCTTAGTAAGATACATTGGGACAGACTATGACTGAGCACTGGCAAGTTACGAAAAGCTACTATAACTTAATGCTCCTTCTGCATACATAGTTAACCAATATTATTTTAATTGTAATCGATTAGGAATTTATCACTGAGAGGAGTTATCCTTCGTCTTTTTTCATTTAATTGTTGCCACAAAGCATTGTTG